TTTTGTTTGTGAATGAACTAGGGTGATATCCAGACCTGTGTCTCTATGCTCGTTGTACTAGGGGACCACATAAAAGCACTTATAGATGAAACTTACCAGGAAAGTTGGTTCTATTCTTATATAGGTAGGTATGTGCTGTGTTGTTGTTGTTTTTTTTGTACATTGTTATTGTGTGACAATTGTTTTGATAACAATGCTTAAAAAAACCACAAAAACAAGTTGTAATCAATTACCTTTTGATTAGGGTTAGGGTCTCTGTTTAAGGTAAAAGTTCACTAAATATATTGTGTGACATCATAGTCACAGTTATATCACAATGCCCTAGTCTTTTTTTTTGGATAGGAGTTGAAACTGAAAATTATGTAATGTTCTTTTTACTTTTTTGTTTGAATGTTTTCAAAATGTCCATAATGCAATGGATGTAAATCTCATCTGTTTCTGTTAAGTCGCCAGAATATTAACTAATCGCAATTATTAGGCTCAGGTACACCCTAAAATCCCAAATTAAAAATTCCAACTTTCACTAGAATTTTAACTTAATTGTTATAAGGGAATTATTATTATATTTGTAATATTTTCATAATCAAGTGAAAATAATGTGAAAAATAATTGTTACTACATTTAAAAAAAAAGATTTTCAATATCATCAAGCTGACATGCATAGATCCAATATAATCCTAAATATGAACTGGTCCATATTAGACAATAATAAGCCCACATTTTCTCAAAATATACATTCCGTTAGATCTCAAGTTTTTTTTTGTTTTTGTTTTTTTGTCATCTTTTATGACCAATGTAATGGATTGTAACTTCTTCCACCAAATTTAGAAAATGTTTAGCTAGACAGCATGCCACTCAGACACTCATTGAAGACACACTGGCATTGTCATAGCCTCCTTTTTTTCTTAGTGTCCTAACATAGAACAGTTTCTTACAAGTTTAAAGAGAAATATGTTTCATCGGACTTAACTATCACAGTATATTGAGTGATGAACTTTCTTATGTTTCTACTACCCAAGATTTGTTAGGTCGTTATGAACTCTGGACTGTGGCTAATGTTGTGATGAAACAGTCCAAGCTGGCCTCTATCTGTTCCTTGAACCAAGAATCCACTGTAGTTCACACCATGTGTAGCAAGTGTTCTCGGGCCTGTGAGCGCGCAGCCTGGCTCTGTGACAAATGTAAACGAGTGACCAACCTTTGCAGCATCTGGTCAGTTTTTAGTTCATTGATGTTTTATTTTTACATTCGTTATGTTTTGCTGTTTTTTATTTCCAACCTTTTGGTTTGGTTTATTTTAAATCTCAATCCAAGTTGTTGTTTTTTTAGATTAATTTCTTGGTTATTATTATAGCAGTTGTCTGAAGTTTTAAAATTATTTCATTCATACATCTTAATATTTTATAGTAGCTTGCCTCAATTCTTCTGATAAAAATCAAAGTGTAAATCTAGACATCTATTAACATTAAAGTATCCCTCATTGGATATAATTATGTCAGGCTGAGATATTATAATATTATAGAAATACTATCTATTACGTCTCACATGCATTTTCCAATTCTTATGCCTTAAAGTAATTTAGTTTTAAAGTGATGATTGAAAATTCTCTAACTTGATATTATTGATTTTCAATACAGTCACCATCCTGTGAAAGGTGATATGGTCTGGTGTCAAGGTTGTTGCCATGGAGGTCACATCGACCACATTGAACAATGGTTGACCTTCTCGGACAGATGTCCTGCTGGCTGTGACCATGTCTGTGAATTTTTCTGAAAGAAATTTTGTTGCTATTGGGAAGGATCTAGTCTGCCAATATGTTACAAAAGTGGATTTTCTTATCTAGTCTCTCAGCATGTTATATAACATGATAACCAAACTAAAATGTGTACTATTAATTTATTTCAAACTGATTTTTGAACTGAGTGAGTCAAATGGTTCGTGTCTGAATGCTCTCAATCTTCAAGATTATTCTCATGACAAATTTTTATTTAAATCATTGTCTATAGTAGTACAATTGACTAACAAGTAGCTAGAAATTGTTTTATATAAATAATAATATTAGTATGATCTTGTTATTTGATGATTTGGGCTAAATATTGAGAAAAGATACATTTTGAGTCTTTGTCTTCTTCAAATGTATAAATATTAACAAAGAAAAATATTAAATACCGGTACCCGATCTACTTACAGATGAAAATAATTCAATACTGAATAATGATAAATAAATAATATGACTAAATAAACACAAAAAATAAATCTAGTCTTTAATGATATGAGACTATTTTAAGAAAGAGACAGGAAAGATACAATGAAAATAACGCCACGTTACTTCTAAAAAAAAATTAAAAATTTATCGTGGATAAGAACAAAACAAGACAATATAAACATATATTGAGACTTTATTAATGATTATACCAACTTTGTTGGCCCTCTTTAGCGCCCTCAACAGGCAATATGATATTAATAAAGATCTATTGTCCCTATAGACTTAAACTAAAATACAGAGAGAGGTATACTCATCTTTTTTCTAAATCCCCATTCGGTTTTGGAGTATAATGGTCAGTCTTCTACACACAAGACAAGTGCGCTCAGGCAGTTAGGCAAGGCAAGGCAAATTCTTTTGGTGCTGGTACGGTTCTCAAAGGTCCTCAGGTCAGGTCTCAAGATTCCAGTTCCTCTCTTTGATGAGGAGTTGATTCTGGCTTCACGGCTGCTTCTAGTAGACTGGTAATACTGAGACAAGCTAGTGGTGCTGAGAGAACAAAAGCTAAGTCCTACTCTCTCAAATGGAAAAAATAACGTATAAAAATATAAGTAAATCACGCAGTGTAGTAGTAGCGTATACTACACTTGTGTGTTGTTGGTCAGGAAACACACAGGAACAAAGGTCAAAGTGACCCCAACTGTCAACTGGCTACAATGTAGATCTAAATAAGTCAAGAGGTAACCTTCCATACGACGAACTTAAAACTGCCGACTTGGAATCGAGATACAACTGTGACGGACTGCCCTTCTACTCACTGCAAGACAATGTAAACAGCAGGAACGATGTAGATAAGAACGCCTAGAACAATTGGATTACACACTGATGAAGTTCACTGGATAAAAATTTCTAAGCCCAGAATCACGATCTAGATTAATCCACACTCTGACTAGATCCAGCAAAGAAATAACGTGTAAATAAAAATCCAACAGTCTTTCAGCCAAAGATGATAAAAGGCCTTTAATGTTCTGCCACTCTTACTCTTAACCTCGTCGAAGGGTCGCCAAATATGTTATGTGTGTGATTTATAAGATGTAGATTACTTGATTCTTGATGTATAACTAGTCTAAATAATTATTATTAACTCACAGTCTGGATTGCGGTCCGAACACACATACATATTAATGAAATAACTTGATAAGACTTCTAGAACTTGAAAATAGAATTTAATACAAAATAATGGGGCACAGTCCTAATGTCTCAATTCTAAAACAAAACTACCATCTTGCTTGCTAAAAGAGTGAGTCCATTAACTTATCCCATGATTCCCTATTTCCATCCAAAATGAAGTTCTATTTATAGACACTTCGCTCAAATGAACTACTCGATAAAACTACTTTCCTTTTAAACCTATAACAATAGTAAAATAAAAAGATTTGGAAGAGAAACTTAAAAAGTTATAATTTTTTAAATTCTGGACTTATTAATAAAAAAACTAAGACATTATCTCGAAAGTCTGTTTTCTAGTAATGCTGGTGACAATGTTATTATCACCTAAAGAACTAAGGATTGATTACAAATCCTAAATAGAGAAGACTGTACTGATTTTAAAATGCATTTATTGTTAGTACTCATTTCTACTCTTTGTCTTGTAAATATTCCCGTATTTGTGGTGTAACTAGAAAGTCAAAGATTGTGTATTTCATCAAGTATTTCTACAAAGGTTTCATACATTTGTCTCCTAGAGGCTGTAGAGGCTGGTATTTCTGGTAGGAGCTAAAGAACTATATTAAAAAACAACTTGAGCTTTTGTTGGTTTTTAGAACAATGAGAGAAGGGAGCGAGTTGTTTGCTGGAAGTTTGTCTCTAGTAATTGTTTCAAATATTTTGTTTAATCTACTGTTTCAGATAATGACAACATATTAAATATAATGTATACCAGTTATTCTCAAAAATTAAAAATATATACCCTCTCTATAATTATTCTTAAAAATTATAAATATATATATACCTTCTCTGTAATGTAAATAGTATAACTTGTTTCCAAGAAGTTTATTTTTCTAATGTATGTACATACACTTGCATTTATCTGTCCTCAGTTTATATAATAGGTTATGGCCCAAGGGCTTCAATTATTTTTATAGTACTTTTTAGTTTCACTAGAACTACAAATATCTGTATTTTATAAAAGATGTAGAAATTTTCTTTGTATTACTTTCATAACAATATTTAATGCACAATTATTTTTTTTTCAACTCTAAAAGAGTCTAGGACTTGCCGATATGACCCTGAATCAGGATCTTTGATTCCTTATTAGTTACTTTCTCCAGAACCAGCAATGACTCCCTCTTGGTGTTAACGTACTTCCATGCAATATAAATAGTCCAAATGTCATCATTGTAAATATTTGTTCTTGCTAGTTAAACCAATTGATGTTTAGTTCCAGCACTATGGCTCTTTTTTTAATGCTGAATCAGTTCAGAATAATTTGTTGAAGAATGTATCATGGAATGTGTTTCTGTTAAATGCTTAGGATTTTTTGTTTGAGTAAGCTATTTTCCTCATCAAAAGATTCCAAAATTAAAATGCAAGCTACTTTATTTAACAGAATGAGTATGGCCTGATTAAAAATAAACTTTTATGTGAATGAGTGTTTCCAGAACTAGAATTTTATTAAGAGATTGAATGTGGCAAGATTACTTTTATTAAGAGAATAGCTGTGGACAGATTAAAACTATAGAATGAATGGGGCCAGATAGAAACTTGACTTTTATTAAGAGAATGGGACCAGCTAGAAACTTGACTTTTATTAAGAGAATGGGGCCAGATAGAATGACTTTTGTTTGCAATTTATTAGCTACTTTTTAGAATGTGAATGAATGTGGTAGATTAACAAGATCAAAACTAGAAAGTGGTTTATTAGGAGAATAAGTGGCCACACATAGCCTACCTCCAAAGTGTATGTTTTGTCAGAGATTGAGAGTGGTGAAATTTTGACAGCTTACTTTGAGTATATTCTCAGATATTGTACATGGAGAGTCAGAGTGAGATATTAATTATCTCACATTATTTCCTTTCGTGTAAAAGCATGTGATGCAATGAGGACTTATTTGACATGTAGTTCTTTATTATAAGAACAACACAATTTTGTACAAATTAAAACCCCAAGTCTTTTTATGCACTTTATTTATTGATTTTTTTTCTACCAAAACTGAACATGGGGGAAAAAAATGGATAAAAACAAAGTAACCCTTAACACCATTGCATGCCAAAATGACTAGAGAAAACATTTGAGTACTGTGACTAATAATGTTTCAAAATTACTTAACTGAATAAAATCTGCTTTGGAATGTGCTGGAAAAAATGGACAATATTGCTGATTCAGTATTGAAAGCTTAATTCATCCTAGCAATATTTCTTGAAAATGTGCATTATAAATTTGGTTGACATAATACAAACCAGTATCCATACACATAAGAATTTGCTGATTCAGGATGTCAAGAACATGAGTAAATATTTTACTTTAAAAAGAAATACAAGATCGTATCATCAATATTACTTTATGATCAACTAATAATAATAATAATAATAATCTTTATTATCCATATGGAAATTTGTCTTATGGTAAAAGATAAGATTTTGTAAAGGCATTATATCAACAATCAGATCATAAGTAAAGGCACTATGTCAACAATCAGATGATAAGTAAAGGCACTATGTCAACAATCAGATCATAAGTAAAGGCACTATGTAACAATCAGATCATTGCATAAAACATAAATAAAAATTCACAAATCTGACACTCAGCATAAAATACCAAGGAATGTTTTTCTTTGCATGCATTATTGGGGAACACTACTGTAGCAGTGGACATAATCATGTGTTTAGACATTTTCAGCAGCATATATTATGTACACAAACAAGGTAGAGATCAGATGATCAATCAAGTCAAAGTAGTTCAAATATACAAAATAAAATCTGCATATTGGGAGTTAAAAAAATATATTAATATGAACACTAATTACATTTTGATTTACTTGCACTGTCAAATGTATGGACAAGCAAACAGATGATACACCAAGCAAAGTATTTAGTTGATGCTTGAATGAAAACAAAGTTTAATTTTGAAAATAAATTTAAGAACCAGTTTAATACTTCATGTAGTAGAGTAACCAATGTATTCAGCAGAGCTTTCTAATTAAATACAAGACTGAAACAACCTTTCCCACACACAAAACTACTTTACCCACACAAATGAAACATTGAAATTAAAAAATACCCTTACTTAAATGAGTATTGGTCAAACTTAACAATAAAAATATCAACATGTAGATAGCACAAGCCTAAACCAATTAATCAAAACAAACAAAAAATTATTAAAAGAGTTTGTGTCTTCATATAAGCTCAGAGGCAGCCGCCAAAGGGTTCACCAAGTAACAAAACAAGTTTCCATAATGACATTATTATTATTACATTGTATATATTATCTTAAGTATTCAATCAATTGATTTCTATAAAGCCATTGATAATTGAATAATATCTGATTGTTGAACTACAAAGAAATTGGTAAATGGCCAATCTCTCATTCATGGACTCTAGATGAAGTCCTTCCTTTGCCCTTTGGTCAAGTGTCTAAAGGGCTTTTGACTTCAGTAGGACGGAATGTAATAATATACAAGCAAAATACACAAAAATACTTTTGTTTAAAACAAAGCTTATATTAAGAACAGTTGTATCAATTAGTCATAATTTAATTTGTAATAGATCTAGACTAACAGTATACAAATCTGTGAGATCAGAAATATCTTTACCAATTGTTGTTGTTTATTCTAATTTTAGCTTTCTCACTACGCAATAATCAAATCACTTTTCTGGACCAGTTGGAAAGGTGTGGGGAGAGAGAGAACGGGGTATCTGGCTGATCGCTTTTTAAACATATTTATTTTAAAAAAAGGTGAACAATCTGAATTCGAACTTGTGTTTAAAGCCATCTCAGGCTTCTCAAGCCAACACTGTAACCACTCTGCTAGTGAAGAGCTTATGAACATTGAAGATTGTATAGTTATTTATTGTTTCTATAGTCTCGTTCTTTTAGATGTTTATGTTCACTAAGACTCAGAAGATGACCTATAAAAGGGGACTAATTCAGCGTACCAATTTATTTCCCTTGTTTGAGATACCAAACAAAATAATTAATTACTAATAGTTAATAAACTAATTGTTGTTTTTTTATTGATTCTTGTGTTGTCAGGTAAAAGAAATAATTGTACAAATTTCAGCTTGATCAGAGATTGGGTATGGGAGAAATTAAGTGTACAAACTTTTTACTGGACATCACAGTGAGTTGATATAAACTTTGTAAAAATAGCACTAAAACAGCATTTCTTAAAGTGTGGGTTGCGTGAGATGAAAGGCTGGTCAAATTATGTTTTAAATAAATAAATAACTCAAAATGAGCTTACAGCAATCAAGACTATTATAGACAGTTGCCTGCTGTATATACCCTTATATACCCTGTATGTCCTTTGCATAATAAGTATTGGCCTGTGCTGCACTCAAACAATGCCTATTAAATCGTTTCAAAACCTTGATTTATATGTATGTGTATATTTTTTAAATCCTGTTTATGTTTTTTTTAAGCAATAAAACTCAGTAAGAGAAAAAAAAAAAGCAATATGAAGTCATGTGGTGGCAATATAATGGAACCTAAAGAAAAATGTCAGAAAATAAAAAGATTGGGAGAGATTTGAAATAAATAGACAAAACAAAGTCCTAGATCACAGTATGAAAATTTCTGATGAAATGTATCCATTACTTATTCTAAGGTCTACAATTAAACCATAAAACTTTTGTGACTTTCATGATTATTCTTAGAGTGAATATGTGAATTTGGCAATCAGACATAGCACAGACAAAAACTGAATGAGTAATCAAATACTATTTTAAAATTAACTAACCTAGCCTAAAAAGTGTTTCACTGTAGACTATTCCCAGCTTTGTCATACAGCTTGTCATGGAAACCACTGATTTCTTCCAGCTCAAACTCCTTCTCACTATCACTGACCTCCAAATCATTCTCTAGTAAAGTGTATTGGTCCTGGGTCAGGGTCTGCTTCAACTGATGTTTCACAGTGTACACCTTGTAGCCTAGGAAGGCTAAGAGTGCCAAACAGAGCACAAGAACAGCGACCAGGATAGGAACAAGGTCTGGAAATGAGAAGGGGATTAGATTTCTGAAACATAAGCACTATGTATGCAAGGACAGTTCAGGCACTTACGTGTGTTTCATTTCAAAGAGAATAGGGTTTACTGTTTCATAAAGGTGGGCCCAGTGTCTACAAAGGGGGAGTTGTGTGGATTTATTTTGTTCAGATGGTAATTTAACAGAGGTGTGTGTTCTGTTCTTAGTTGGAAAATTGTAGATTGTTCTTTGCAGGGGAGAAAGTTAATACTATCCAGTTTGTTAGGCATGGTCATTTCTTTGTACATGGCTCTGCCTGTGCTTCTCTTTGAATGTCCCTTCCTAATCCATCTTAGGCAGACCCTACTTCCACTACAGCCCAACATAACCAACACCTTATACAGCAGTTCTGAACAACTGAAAAACAGCACACTATTTTTCCTTGGCACAGTCTGCAAAAGAGCTCACAGCTCAGTAGCAATAAAGCTGGCTAGAAAAAGAAGAAGTAGTGTGTTGTGTTTTTTCTAAATCATCTATTTTCTAGTCTGTAGAAGTTGGGTAATGCTATTTCCCTCAAGTTAAATTCTAAATAATCGTTGAATTATCCGCTCAGTACACAGTGTTTTGTATTTAAAATGTCATTATACTGCAGCAAAACATTTCTAGTTGCTTTTTTTTCCCATTTTGGCTCACATTGACCAAATCTAGTAGACATGAGTTACTACTAAATAAATTTGTTTGACTGATTACATAAACAGGCTGAGGGATGATAAAATGTGTATTATCTTCCATAGCTTAGAATTTGTTTTAAGAAAACTAGGTCAGAAATAGATTGTAAGATACCACCTGGATTGTGGTTAGGAAAATAAGTCATAATAGTATAGTTATAAAAGCCGACCCGCGGCAAAGCATACTCTGCTCTTTAGTGACAGGTGAACACTTCCTGAAAGACACAGTTGTCCAAATGGGGTGGGTGGTTGAGTGACGTAGAGAATTATATATACAGAGAAGATTACTTGCTCTGCACCCCCCCTCTTTTTTTTCTGAATGAAAGTTAAGTGGGGTAACTCTAGTCCCACTTGCAGAAATAAAAGAGTTATCTTTTCATGACTTTTTCATTGAGGGTTAGAGAGTCAGAGTGTGTGCGTCTTGTACTGCATGGTTGGGTGACGTAGAGAATGATATATACAGGTGACCACAAACACACTAAGAAAATATTTCTTCTGTTCATTGTATTGCAATGGAAGTTTCTGACTACTACAAAAAATGAAAATAGAATATAGTTGGCAAAGCAAAACTTACTGTCAATTAAAAAATGTTGTGAAACATCGGCCAAACAAATGTCAGCACATTCATCATTAGTAAACACCAGATCTTGGTAAGCTTTTTGAAAGACCTCAAAGGGACATAATGTCATATTATTGCAGCCTGTCAAAATAAAAATAAAATGTATCCATCATAAATTTGTCTTACTTCTCAAAAGCTTAAACTTAGTATTTCTTGTAAATAAGAATGTCTTGATTCCAAATTGTCATAATTAAAATTGGTTAACTTTGAATATTTGGTTCACTATTTTACTTTTTTCAATTGAGAGAAAAGGGTGGCATGGTGGCTGAGTGGTTAAGTGTTTGGCTTCCGAACCAAGGGGTTTGAATCTTGGTGAAAACTAGGTATTTGAATTTTAGGATTTTTAGCCCTTGAGTCCACTCAACAAAAAGGGTATCATGCCTGACATTATTTGGGGAAAGTAGGGGACAAATGACACCCTTGTTAACATGACATCTTCTGCCCTATAGATCACAAGGTCTAAAAGAGGGACCTACTGAAACAAAATCTTGAGTTTTGGTGTTTAAAAGATAAGCACACTGTATGGACATTCCAGTAGCACCAACATAAGGGCTGACAACATTTAGTATTTGAAAAGGTTTCAAGAAAGCAATCTTAATCGTAATGACATCCAACTTAGCTGAAAGAGTTTTATAAATTGTTACCATTGACTAGTAAGGCTTCATTTCTGGAATCTTCTCTGTACACAAATTTGACATAGTAGGCATCATTGAATTTATGAAGTTCTATAATCACAGCACCAATGTAAGGCACTTCTCTTTGATTATCTACCCCTAGCAAGGCTTTCAAAAAACGTACAGTTGACTCATGCTGCCACAAAAAAAAAAAAAATTAGTCTAACACTTTCAAAATGAACTTGAGACTAATGAAAGTGAAAATACAAATGAAGAGATAGAGAAAACATTAAATTTGTGTTTTATTTCTGAGTTTCCAAATATCTCACTATGGAAGTAAATTAATGAAAGTAATTTTCGGTCATAATTATTCTAATCGTACTTCTATCTCTCAAATGATTTTCACTACTTCCACCAAACCTTGGCCTTTGATCATTATGTCATGCGCACAATAATATTATAATATTACATCCCCCACATCCAATAGATTTACAATATATTATAAGATTTCTCATCAAGAATGCAAAGTGGAAGAGG